GATGATCCTCGGATTGCTTAAGAGGAGATGCGATGGGGCTCCCCGTTTCAACCTTCGGCTCTCCACCATTTTTGCCTGCGAGAGGCGCAGCAGCGGCAGTGTGCTTGTCGGCGTTTCGTGCAACTACATCATTATTGCGCACATCAGCAGCTTGAGAAGGGTCCAGCTGAGATCCCGCCTCCCCGCTGGGATGCAGTGTCGAATCCGGCTCAACACCAGGGAGTGGAAGATGAACAGCTGGCTTATTTGCGTCCCCCTTTCTCTGCCGAACAGCCTCTTCAATGGCTTCAGCGATTTTATGTACTGTGCCAGCGTTCGTCGCTGCCGTAACAGCGTGCTCAGAAGCTGTCGTAGCTTCTTTCAGAGCATTCGTAGCCTTCTGCAACGCCTGCTGAGCGCTTTCCGCTGCCACTTTGGCATCCGGCAATGCCTTCGTGACCTCTTGTTGAGAACTTAAAATTATTTTTTTGTCTGTAACTGGAAGCTTTGTTGCATCTGCTGCATGATCACTTGATGAAAAAGCACTACTCGACGCCTTGAGAGCGACTTCCATTGCTTTATTGGCGTTTTCGTGTGCGGCCGAAGCATGTTGAGAAGCCTTTTTCGCTTCATCAATGGCCAATGCTGCACTTTTACCCGCTTCCGAAACATTTTTCTTTGCGTCTGGAAAGGTTTCTGCTAGCTCCTTTATTTTCTGCAGCGCCAACTCAACGAACACCGCTCCCCCCTTCGCTGTATTTGCTGCTTCCAAAGAAACTCCGGCGGCATAGATACACTTTTCATGCGCACCTTTGGTCTTGCCCACTGCATCCTTGGCTTTCTTAGCCGCATCTGTAATTTTATTGTTCAATTCAGGATATGGGATTAACGGAGTTTCCTGGTTCCCAGCAGACTCCATTTCTGTCTTCAGATTGTTCAATGTTTCATAGGCATGACTCGTTGCCTTATGGGCAGCCGTCGCAGCAGTAACAGCTTCCAGCGCCGACTCCTTGGCTTCACCAGCCTTCTCCTTTGCTTTGAGTGCTGCCTCCAAAGCCACACTCCCCGCCCCCACGGCATTACTTGCAGCAGTCACCACAGCCTTCACTTCCTCAGATCTCAAAGACGCCTCCACGGCCTTCACTGCGCCACTCCCGGCGGGGCTTACTTGCACTCCCGCTGACAGCACCGCATACCTGCTGGACAGCACACCACCCCACTGGAGCGCCGCAGGTCTGCCGTGTTTCCCCGAGCGCTCCTGCTGGGGCTGCGCAGCCACGCACAAGGCCGTGCAGCACAGAGCAGCGGC